TAGATATATGCATTATAATTGAAATTAGTGAAATTTTTACATTTAGGTTTTCTTTCAGGAGACAGCTAAAACAAATACTGTTTTTTTCTCATTTCAATACCACAACAGAAAAAAATAAAAAATAAATAGGCAATGACTTTAATTAATACTCTTAATAAAATCAATACCACACAAATTTTGTGCCTGTTATTGATTTTTATTGATGGTAATAATGTCATTACTTATTTATTATCTATAGAGTTTTTTTTTTGTCGTATTGAAGTGAAAAAAAAACGGTATTTGTTTTAGCCGCTCCCTTTCTTTTTATCTTGGTTTTGAACATGACATTTATAAGTTTTGTTTGTACATATATTTGTTATCATTTAGTTAGGTGTATTTTTTCTATTTTTTTAATACTCGGCCGTGCAGCGCACGGGCAAAATACTAGTTTATCATAACAGGGAGGTATTAGGTTGTTTACCCTAATTCAAAATTTATATTACTACTAAGCCAGATGTCACTAAAATCTCCACTTTAATCCCTTCGGAAAAACTTGATAAATACAATTCCACGTTTACGAATTAATTTTTAAAAAGTCTTTATTTTTGCCTATCCACGCACAACGTAATTTTTTTTATTGGATGATTTATTTTTTTAGTAAATCAATTAAACATAGCCTTTTCTTTTATTTTAACCACCCAAAATTACTCTTTGCGGTGATTGATATCAAGACAGAAGCTTAAAAAACGGCTGTATGCAAGATCAAATTAAATAAAGATTTTATTTTAGGGTTAATCACAAAAAGACTAATGATAAGGGTACTTAATTAAAAGAGGGGCATCCAACTTTTTTGTCTTTCAAATAAATCCAGCTTATTCAAACTTATTTGCAAATAAGGAAAATCATTTTATATATACCAAAATTACCCTCAATTCATTGAAACTCAATTCAACTTCAATTTCATGATTTACACCACATTTTAGCTCTATTTCATCAATTAACCAATTTTAACCCTAATTTCAATTTTGACCCGCCACCACCGGAGACCGCCGGTCGCCGCCGTTGACCGCCGGTCTCCGGCGTTGACTTTCTTTTTTTCTTTTTTGTGAAAAACTTTTTTTTCCCCTCAAAAAAATTTTCCGGCCGGTCAACTGCCGTTGACTGCCAGGTGTCCGGCGTTGACTTTTTTTTTTTTTTTTTAATTTTTTTTTGCGGCGGATATATGCAAGCCCATTTTTTTAGGGGCAATTTGCTATAGGTCCTCCTATAAGAGATTATATGTGTTAAAATCCATCTAATAAACTCTAATTTCCAGCAAATTTTTGTATTTATAATTTGTCAAAAGTACCCCTATCAATATCTCTAGTAATATACGGTAAAATATATCTTCAAAATCAAATCCCCCATTTCTCTCCCTATTATACTGCAAATCCGAAATTCCAATTGCAAAAATCTTGAATTCGATTTCTCCCCTTATTTTTCAAATCGAAAATCTCACCACGAATTTTGAATCCTTCAAGAGGTTTTGGGTGTTTGGTCGTTTGCAGTTTTACCAGGTCGTTTGCATTTTGTCTTCGTTTTCGATTTGCTGTTCAATTTTTGGGTTCTTGGTCGTTTGCAGTTTTGGGTGTTTTGGTTGTTTGCAATTTTCGATTTGCTGCAGTTTGCAGTTTTCAATTTTTGGGTTCTTGATCGTGTGCAGTTTTCGATTTGCTGCAGTTTGCAGTTTTCGATTTTTGGGTTCTTGATCGTTTGCAGTTTTCGATTTGGTCGTTTGCAGTTTTCGATTTGCTGTTCAATTTGCTGTTCAATTTTTCGATTTGGTCGTTTGCAGTTTACGATTTGCTGCAGTTTACAGTTTTCGATTTTCGGGTTCTTGATCGTTTGCCGTTTTCGATTTGGTCGTTTGCAGTTTTCGTTTGCTGTTCACTTTTCGGGTACTTGGTCGTTTTACCAGGTCCGTATGGGTGTATGTCGTTTGCAGTTTTACTTCGTTTTGTTTCCAGTTTAGAAATTGTTGTTGCCCACTTTGACTTCGTTTTGTTTGCAGTTTACAAATTGTTTGTTGCTCGGAATCAACGGCTGGTGTTAGGGTTTGGTGTTTGGAGTTCATACGATGGCCAAAACACGATTAAGTCTTGGTAATCAATGATCCTTTTGTATTTAGTTTGTTTGCTATTTCTTTCAAATATTTCAATACTAATTTGAGAAACCGTTTTTTCCCCCTTAACAGCAAAGGATGATGATGATTTCCAATCCCCGAAATCATATAAATTGAGGGGTTTGTGTATGTTACGACTATGGTTATGTTTATTCTAAAACAATACATTTGAAGAACCTAATTATGTGTTCTGACTTTGCTATTTACATTTATCTGTTATGAGTTTGCAAGTTGAATTTCAATATGTTTGTTTTGGATTTCCAAATTTTACCGGTTTTGTTCAAATAATAAAATTTTTGATTTTATATTTTTTGGTACTTTGAAGAACCCATTTATTCGTTTTTCATTTGCCAAAAGCTCATTTACTGAAAATTTTGATTCGGACGTAGTTGGGTTAATATTGCATATGGCAGCCTATTTTGAACATAAGACAGGCTTGTGTTTGTATAAACTAAAAAAAAAACAAAAAAAATGTAAATTGAAATTACAATAACCAACCATGGGCTGCATTTTAAAGTTGCACATAGCTTATTTGAGAAGTTTCGTTAGTGGTAGTTTCAATCAATGTTTGTTTATTATGAGTTTGCACTTAATAGTTTTGTTGTTATGATTTCGTA